TTCCTCACGATCGTAGTTAGTCCTCCATCACTTTTTTCAACACATGGATTAGATCCGGCATTCAATAGTAATATTACTAAACTCAAAAGAAGTGATTAAATTGATTTCAAATTTAGAATTTGACCTTAACAATCTCCTTGGTTTTTTTTTATTTTTGTAATAATAAATTTTCTTTTGTTAATTCTACTTTTCTTTAACGTAATCCATGTATTTGGAAGACTGGGAGGTAATTTGTTTAGTTTTACACTATATTGGCTATATAAGTTAAATGATTATTTTTTTATTTTTCTCATTTTTTACTAATATCAATATTTAATCTTAAACTTTCATAATAAGTATTTAAATAATCATTCAAACCATCAATTATACAATGGGGATCAAAAACAAAAGTAACCAGGTAAAGTGGAATCTCTAGAAAAAGGTCCATTTAATTTTCATTGTCATAATAGTTTTGCTTAATTCATTATCATGTTCATATTGTTCTCCAACAATATTTATGCATACAACTAAAATTACATAGAGTAGTCGGATGATAAACACAAGATAACGTATAAGCAGCACGATTAAAACTTCCAAAATTTCTGAAACTTTTGACAAATATTTTAATGTTGTTGGTATAAACTTGCTTGCCTTACATTATTTATAATAGAAGTACATAATGATTTTTTAGATTTAAAACATTCATTAAATAATTCATATGTTGAATTCAATCAAGTAAAAACATCTCTAGAAAATCTTTTTGATGTTTTATTATTTAATTTTTAAAATTTTATTTCTTCTTTTATTACTTGGATGACCTTATAATAATGAAATAACCTGCTTAACAAGAGAAAGAATAGTTCCAAGAGATCTAAAAGCTTTTTGTATCCATAAATCACCTAATATGAAAAAAGATATCGTTAAAAGTTGATTGACACACTTTTTGTAATTCAATAATGTTATGAACGACTCGGCACTAAGAGGGGGGAAGGTGAATTAGTGCAGCGAATAAAATTATATCAATTCTAAAATTTTCGTACGTTCGATGAAAACCGATATCGGAAATGCTAACATTTGAAAATGTATAGAAGAGTGTAATGAGAAAGTAAAGTAGTGAAGGCATTTTGTATTTTAAAGTAAATTGCTCAAAAGAAATACGAACCAGATTTTTATAGTTGTTCGGTCGTCGTGACCTACATCTACTTCATCGATTCCTCTTCCGTCAAGGCCACCGTCATCCACTAATGGTCTTCCTTCAATGAGTAAAGACCAACTACCATTTTACACCCCTCTTCTCTTTTTCACAAGTTTAGGAGACAACCTTTTATAAGCACACACTCCTCTCTAAATAGAATTCTAAGTTTAAGCTAGAGAAGGGGATCTCTCTAAGTAATTTCTATAGCGTTTTCTCACTTTTAAGTTCTTTGTGCTTATATATGTTAACCAAGGATGAGAGGAGTATTTATAGACCTCAAGTGGATTCAAACTTGGAGTCTAAAAATGTTTCATCTCGGGTCCTTCAGGTACTAGCGGTACCATCACCTGACACCCTGCCACTAGGCGGTACCACCTCTTGACAGTCTCTCGGAGACTGTGTCTCGGTAGTACCACTTCCCAGATTGACGGTACTACCGTCTAACACAGTCTGGGAGATTGTGCCATGACGGTTCCACCTGTTGGGTTATTGTTTGAGCCTTCCACTTGGCCCAACATAGCCCAAACATGGGCCCAATTGACCCCTAATTGAGTTAGTCCAATTCCAACCTAATTATGTGCTAACTATGAAATTTAAGATATTCACTAAGCTAAATAAGTTTGTGAGTCTAGGTTTCTTCCGATGAACTTCTGACGATCTCTCGGTAATGTTCCAGCGGACTCCCGACAAGCTCTTGGACTTCACGACGATCTTCTTAGCGAGTTTTGACAAGCTTCTTTGGCAAGCTCTTGGACTTCTCGGTCAATTCCGACAAACCTTCCGACGAATGTCTAGACTTCTAATGAACTCTTGAACTCTCAACGAAATCTCATTCTTGACTCCAGGACTTTATTTTATTTTATGTCTTGATCGCTATCGTAGTTAATCCTATACATATAAAATCTACTTCGATCTAGACAATTATTACAAAGCAAATCAAATATTGTCTAGTATATCATTGGTTCATCAGCACTTCGTCCGAATCTTCGGCGCATCATCCTCTCTTGCGGCCTATTGCCCAATCGGCCAATTGACCTCCATAACTTCGATTTCCTTGATGCAATTTTCGCTCTTCTTAACCCAATACCCGAACCCATAGCCCAAAGCCTTTTGTCGATACGTCGACCAATCCTTCGGCTAAACGTCTAATCTTCTGACATATTTTTCTCCGGTCCAATATGATTCTTTCTACTTTTAATTATCTCTCCTTGATCGAAGCTTTATACACCACTCAAAACATAGATTAAATCATAAACACTCTTAATTGATTTCATCATCAAACTTCGAGATTCAACAAATAATAGATATAATAATTTATAGTCATATTATCAAAACCAATTGAAAAAAAAATGAAAACCCAAGTAATACTCTTCTAACATGATTTTTATTATTATTATTATTATTATTATTATTATTATATATATATATATATATATATATATATATATATATATAATCATCGGCGATAGATTGATCATCCAAAACTCGAAATGCAAGTACTCTTTTTTAAATGGTTCAATTACTACTATCCAATGACATGTGATTCTAAGGCATCTGTCAATGAATGTTTCAAATATCAAAACAAATAGAAACACATCTATCAAAAGATCAAAATGAATTTTATAATTTTTTCTTTATTTATAAATATTATGAATGACACCTGTAAGTATAGAATAAGGAACATGTCTAGTGGCAGAATTTAAAATATTTTGATAATAGTCAATAAAATCAAGGTTTTGATTGCACAGCTGCCAATCAATTGTCTATGAATAACATTAGTAGTATAAAAATTTTCAATATTTTTTGAATGAAATTCTTCCTCTTGATCAGTGTAAAGAGTTTTAATTTTGTATATGCTTTTAGTCTCTACCAAAAGTTTTAATTTGTAGCAACCAAAATCTTCATATTTGTTTTTAATAAAAAAAATCAAAGCCAATCATCCACAAAAATAGCAAAATAATAATTTTCTTTTAAAGAATGAGACTGCATCAGCCCAAAAACATGTGTATATACCAACTCAGATTATTCTTTTGCTGTCCCATTGCTATGTTTTGGAAAAGATTCCCTGTGATCCTTTCCTCCTAAGCAGCGTTCATAAATAAATTCATTATCACGAACCAAGTGATAATCCATATACCATCATTATTATAAAATAGACAAAGACCTATTAAATTTATTGACTATATTTATAATGTCAATGTCAATTTTCATTTAATGTAAGCCAGAACGAAAAGAAAAAGCTTTATTAATTAAAGAACATAAGGATCCCTCAAGGCAAGCAGTGGACATGGCAAGAGAGAGGTACCATTTCTATGATTTTGAACTTGGGAATCCAGAATTAAACAGCCTCGTTCTAATTTTAGCTTAAGTACTACACCATCACCTGGTTTAATCTTGGTTAATTTGGAAAGCCAGCATTGGGTTACCGCATCCTTATTTTGCTGCCGGTTGAAGAAGCTTAATTCCTACGCTGTTGTCTGGTCCAATTCACACCCAGGTGTATTTACTCTCATAATTCAATTCCGTATATGGCCAAACAGGTATTCCTATTTCATACTACTTTATTCTTCAGGAGTTCTTGGATCTATAAATATTTGTGATGGTTGTTTACCGTCTGTCGTATTGATTATTTATCAATTTATTGATAGATTTATATGTTGATTATAAGTGTGGTTCTACGCATTGCAATTAGCTAAGATCTACAAGATATCTGTATACCAACTGTGCCTTTGTGACACAAATAAGAATCCTAAAGTCAAAGAAGAGGTTGAAGTAACTGAATCAGCTGGGAATCATTTTGAAATCAACATCTAGGCATTGATCCGACGAGGATGGAATCTTGATAATTTATTTTGTTGTAATTTTGACGACGACTGCATTGATTATTAGATCTACTGGAGGGAATTAATCATCAAATCTGGACTGCTAAATTTGCTAAAGCCAATGGAGTATAAATATCAGGAGCTAACGTGTTCTTTAGCACCCATAAATTCTTGCCACAAACACAGCTTTCATATTGGGATGGCCCTGAACCAGTCTATTTTTTCTTCAGAGTTGCATTAAACACTACCTACTTTGGCACACTTCATTTATGCTATGACATCTGTAGGGAGGTCTCTATCAACGTGATGTTTGATGTATAAGTTCATCACGCTGACTGTGAACCATCCTCATACAGTGATTAACTTGCTGTTTGCACCAACTTGGATCTCGCCTTTTTATATCAGATGTTGCTGACTGAATCTAGTGCAAACTTGCAGAAGAGCTAAAACCTAATCTGCCTCAAACCTTTATAAGAATATATACATAGAACAGCTCATTAGTTTCTTGAAATGTGGAAACTCTATAGAACTTTGATTCATCTATTAAATGGAAGGTATATAAATCTGTCGGTACCTGGAAATACTATCGATGGCATTGAGTAGATTCCATGTACTAAATACACCAGGCTAAAGTAGTATCTACATTTACAGAAACCGCCTGCTTCTCTATCGACCATTAGCAGTAGCCGCTGAGGTTTTATCCATAAGAGTAGAAATCTAGAATGTCGATCGTTTCCTGTGTTAGGATACCCGAGTTCGGGATTCATCCCAGAAGTGAATAGAGTTTTAATGAGACGATTAAGTAGGTATAAAGAGGTGCACCAACGACTGATATCGTAGATAAAATCAAGGGAATATTTAATGGATGAAACTGCAAAGCCGGTGTCATGGAGGCTCCCTAATTGCACTTCGTAGAAGTTTTCAAGTCCATTGTCGGCCATGGCTAAGGATTTCTTGGTATAAAATGGCACGTAGAGTTCTCAACATTGCACAAGAAACCACAGGTTGAAATCTTCTTCTCCTTCTTGGTCCGTTTGAGTTCTACCATGGGGACTCCACCGCATCTCAGAAGCCTTTTGCTTGCAGTATTGTTGATGATCGGATCTACAAGCGCTGCAACGCAGACCGAAACGTTGGTCACCGTCGTCGGTGCTACCGAATGCTTGGACTGTGCGCAGAACAGTATCAAGACGGAGGATGCAGTCAAAGGTGGGTCATCATTCTTCACTTGTTTCTCGATAAATGCTCGATTGAACTTCTTGTATGTGTTGTCGTGGTGGTTATGGCTAAGCAGGGCTGCGTGTAGCTATCAAGTGCAAGGTGCGCAACGAAAAATACGATACCAAAGCCGCAGCTGAGCTCGACAGCAACGGAGACTTCAACGTCAAGCTCCCGAGTGAGCTTCTCCAGGACAACGGCGAGCTGAAACACGAATGCTTCGCGCAGATCCACAGCAAGTCCGACGCACCTTGCCCCGACATGAACGGGCTGAACCCATCGAAACTTGTCCTCAAGTCCAAGGAGGGAGGAAAGCACACGTTCGTGGCAGCACCCGGGAAGCTATCGTTCTCGTCGGTCACCTGCGCATCGGCCACCCAAGCCTTACTACTGTGGCACAAGAAATTTCACAAGCATCACCTGCCAACTTACAAATCTCCATCTCCAGTCCACAAATTGCCACCCAAGCCTTACTACCATCCCCACCCACACCCAGTTTACAAGCCGCTAACTCACAAAACTCCCTCTCCAGTCTACAAGCCACCGGCGCCGGAGAACAAGCCACCATCAGGGGGACACTACAAACCGCCGGCGCACGGGTACAAGCCGCCGTCGGGAGGATACTATAACCCACCCGCTGCACCGGTCTACAAGCCGTCGCCGGTGCCATACCACGAGCATCCAGCGATTCCTATCCCTAAGCACCATGAAGAACAGAAGGCGTAGAACCAGATCGAGCAGATGGCATAGAATATACATCTATCATCGCTTCAAGCGTTTGATGTTATGCGTAATAATGCTAGATCTTAGGATGCGTGTGAAAACTATGGTGGAAGGAGGTCTTGGTTGCTTCTTTCTTGCTTGCTTGCTTTCTTGCTGCTGCTGTAATGCCTGTAAAAGTATGTGATTTCAGCTATTTCACGTATGATTGAAGTAACATTTGCTCTTATATTTATACTTCCTGCTAATGGTGGTAAACAAATAAGATAGTATCCAACATTATAACAGGTTGAAAACCCATAATTTAGTGATGTTGTTTGAACAGAATATATAGAAAATGATTTGATTGAAGTGAAGATAATTTTAAAAAAAATGCTGATTTAATAAAATAGATAATATATCGCCTCACTGCCTCTCTTTAGGAAATGAATACTAGCATAGTCCAAGAATTAAGAAAACCAAGAGCCAAAGAGAAGCAAGGACAAATCAAATAAATTCTTTTTGGGTTATTGATACTCTAATTAATCTGCATCGTCTCAATCAATATAATAACAAATAAAGAAAACTTGGATGATGGTTTTGTTGGACTCTAAATTAAGTACTTTTTATTAAAAAAAATTATTAATACTTAGATATTCTAGTACCGAAAAGATTTCTCAACTCAAGAGTGATTTGCCGACTAGTTGGCCGCTTGATTGCCCTATTTGTTGTTTACACGAGAAAATATGTATTTATCAAAATTTTGAAGTAAGGATCTGATGCTATTAATGGTATTCTTGAGAGAGCCTAAGGTATAGTCGAATTGCTTTGAATCATTTGCATGACACCTTTGGAATCTGATTCTATAATGACGTGTGGGTGTTAAATAGTTAGACTTCCTTCAAACCATCCTGCTGTGTCATCATTTCACAAAACAAAATGCCTTTATGTTCCAAACACCTACCACCAGTAAAAATAACTTGGCTAGTAAAATCACGTAAAACAAATCTTAAACCTGCATCCTTATCACTAAAAGAGTCATCACAACTTAGTTTAAACCATTCTAAATAAGGTTTTATCCAATGAACTTGTAAATGACTTAAACTCTTGAATAATGCCATCAGATTTATGGGGCAGACTTATGGGGCTTCATAATAAGCCAAGACACTTGCAATAATTTTATGTTAAAGTCAGTAGGGGTAATTGTGAAATTGCGATTGTATACAATATCATTTTTTATTTTCCAGAGCCACCATAAAGTTATAACAATAATAGTTTTTAAGGAACCAACAACATGCTTGTGCATTCCAACAATTTCTTAAAGTAATTGTCCATCATGTCAAGATTCAAGAAAGGAATTGTATGTTTAAATGGTATCATAAGAGTTGCCAAAGAGATGAGGAGAAAAGACATTGAAATAAACATTGTAGAATTGATTACATAGTTGATTCACAAAAAGGACAAGAAAAAGTATTGCAAATTCTAAGTCAAGGAAGTCTATTAGACAAGGGAAGATGATGGTATAAGAGTTTCCAAAAGAAACATCTTATACGCGACAAAACTAGAAGCCTTCATAAATAACATCACCAATCCGCATTGTCCAAATTCTTACTCGTCTGACAAAGCAAAAAATTTATAAATTAATTGATAAGATTCTAAATTCTTATCGTCGCTCTGATACCAATTGATAAGACCCTACAATCTTATCGTGGAAGAATGGAGAGAAAAAGAAATGATAATGATCGCTTCGAAGGGATCGGCCTCCTTGATCACTTCGAGGGGATCGACCATCCTTGATCACTTCGAGGCGATCGGTCTCCTAGGGTTTGTCCACTGAGTGGAATAACATTTCATTGATTGATTGATTGATTCCAAAAGAAAGGGTTACATCACTATTTATAAAGTTCCACTTAGAGTCCACCCGGACTTGGACTCTTAATAATAAATAAATATTAAATAAACCTCGACTTGATTTTAACTGAACTGAACAGACTTAATAAACAACTGAACTAAATAGACTCAATAAACATTATTCAAAAGCTCAGAAAAAGAGTCCTAACAGTTCCTCCCTCTTCAAATCAGCCTTGTCCTCAGCAACATCAATCTCGAGGAGCTTCTCTTTCAACACTTTAGTCATAGACTATCTACAATGCATCACAACCTATTGATCAAGCAAGTAGAGTGTCCACTTTTTGATAGTGTAAGCAACCAGTCGGTCTTTCAGTGTAGTAATCGTTGCATGAAACTTCTGGCCCTATATAATCAATTTTATCTTTGAACCTTTGCTATTACAAGTGAAAATTCGTTCATTAACAATCTTTACTTCGAATTTGTCATAGACTTCAATGTGGTAGGCCAATCGGTCAATAGTCTCATTGTCTATAAAATTGTTAGTGCTACCTATATCAATCAAAATAGTGACAGGTTGATGCTTCAAAGTTCCTCTGATTTTCATAGTTTGTGGGTTAGTGTAGCCAGCCAATGCATATACTGTATGTGTGATGGCTTCAATATCTTCATTAGTTTTCACACCTTCATGATCGGAGTCCAACTCTTTTACTTCCGGTTCCTATTTATCAAGCAAGTAGAGTGTCCACTTTTTGATAGTGTAAGCAACCAGTCGGTCTTTCAGTGTAGTAATCGTTGCAAGAAACTTCTGGCCCTATATAATCAATTTTATCTTTGAACCTTTGCTATCACAAGTGAAAATTCGTTCATTAACAATCTTTACTTCGAATTTGTCATAGACTTCAATGTGGTAGGCCAATCGGTCAATAGTCTCATTGTCTATAAAATTATTAGTTCTACCTATATCAATCAAAATAGTGACAGGTTGATGCTTCAAAGTTCCTCCGATTTTCATAGTTTGTGGGTTAGTGTAGCCAGCCAATGCATATACTGTATGTGTGATGGCTTCAATATCTTCATTAGTTTTCACACCTTCATGATCGGAGTCCAACTCTTTTACTTCAGGTTCCTCTCCAATTGGCTTAATCATCAGAAGTTGCTCTTGTTTATATCGATGCTCCATACTCCACTTTTCATCATAGTACAAACCTTTTGCTGATCTTTCATTGAGTTCTTTTTAGGTTAGTCTTCGGGTGTCAAGGCTTTGGTTGGGAATAGATGGGGCTGGTGGCTTACAGATCATCTGGTTGTTGTCACTTCTATTTCTATGATTTTTCCTGTTGATTTTTTTCTCATGTAGATTTGCAAATGAGATCGCAGCCATCATAGTGCGGGGCTGACGAGCCTTAACTTCACATCGGATCTCTGGAATAAGACCTTCAATAAATGTATCTAGAAGTTATCGTTCCGACCATTCTCTAGCTTGATTTGATAATCTTTCAAACCTACTCTGATATTCCAATACTGTAGAAGTTTGACAAATTTTTACGAGTTGTCCATCCACCTTCATGTATGAGTAGATTATGTCACAATCTTGGGGCCTTTTTCTAGTATTTTCATATATGTGTAATGTAGAACTTGAGCTCCCACCTTATTGAAATTTACTAAGGCTCTCTAGTAAGTCCTTTTTGAAATCATTAAGTATTTCTTGCAACTGGTTCTCAATTCTAATTTTCAATGCTTCCATTTGTACTTTCACTGAGTTATCAATGGCCATTTCATAAGACTACAAATCTGTAATCTCAACTCATGTTTATGGTATCAAGACTAAGGCATAAATCACTGCCATACTCAGTGCTGTTGTTGTGATGTAATCGATGGTAACACTATTGGAATGAAGGGTTACTGCGAGGATACGGGGATGTAGCTGCGTTCGCTACGTGGGAGGCAACAATGCTTGTTGTGGTCGCTGCGTGGAGGGATCACTACTATTGAGGGCTGGGAGGCGATGATGGTGATGCGGCTGGGGGCAACGTCACCGAGGGCCTGTCGTTGCGGTGGTTGCGATGGCATGGATGGAAGGCAGCGTTGCTTTGTCTCTACCGCACTAGGAAAAGAGGCATTGGTGACGCCGAAGGATCGCGTGAGGTTGAGGACACAATCGGTGTTGTTAAAGCGGCCGAGGTTGGGAAGAGGAGTCAGTGCGTGCATTGCCGAGGTTGAAGCGGCCGCACAAGAGCTTGCTGTGTGTGCTGTTGGAGGGCGGCTACGGTGGCGTTGCCGAGGTTGAGGCTGCAGTGGAAAATAGGAATCAACGGTGGTAGGCTGGGCGGCGAGCGGTGTCGTCGTTGGCTGGGCAACAGCGGCAACGGTGGTGGCAACTGGCATTCGCAACAGCAAGAGGACTGGCGACTGCTTCATAGCAGCAAGAGGATTGCCCTGTTTCGGTCACCAAGGGGGCAGAGCAAAGGGGAGTGGCAGCGGTCGTTCTCGCCCGAGCTAGGGGGAGAGGCGGCTGGGAGGCGAGCGGCGGTCGCCGCACGGTGGTGGGTCGGCTGGAAGGCGACGGTGCTCGAGGCGCGGATGCGATCGACGAGTGATGGGGATAAAAAGAGGAATAACCTTTGTATAGGAACAAATACTAGAAGACTAAAATACGCAGCGG